ATTGGACATTTTCTTTGACTACAATGCAGTTAAGTTAAAAATCTATTTTAAGGGGGGGATAAACTATCTTTTTGTATTTGAAAGTTACAAAATAGGCTCCTTAAAACCCATGGTCAGAATAGAAGTCATACTGGAAACTAAGAAATATTTTGAATGGTAAAGAAAATGATGTATCAGAAGTTGTAGTGTGCAACTTACAGGAGTACTCCTTAGAAATGTATAGCTTTAAGTGTAAATGTTAGAAAAGAAGAAAAGCTCAGTGTTAGTGTGGTACACTATCATCTCCAGAATTAGAAAAATAAGAACAGAGCATAGCAGGAGTAGAAACTATATAATAAGAAAACATACCAATAGAGAAAATCAAGAAATCAAAGGGAATTCCTTTAAAATACTGTACTGAAAACAAAATTGAGAAACTTCTAATGAGCTTTATTGGGGGAACAAAAAGAGAACAAATGAATAATGAAAAACAGATTGTGAATGCTGTTGACATCGGATAAAAGCATATAATAAAAATTATGCAAATAAATTGAAAAATATAATTGAATGAACAGGTTCTTAGAAAAATATAACTAATATAAGAAATGGAATACTTTAGTAATTCTGTGACAGTTAAAATAAATTTGATTAGTAGTAGACATTTCAGAAGACCCTGCAGTGAGCTGCTTGCATTTCTCAAACATGCTCAAGTAAAAAATTGTACATTTTACAATTTTTTTCTAGAGAGTAGAAAAAAAGAGAACATTGCCTCTCAAGAAGGTGCCACACATTGCTATCAAAACTTAACGTGTACATGAGAAATTTTTTTACTGTCCATTTTCAATGATGAACACAGATGCAGAGATTTTAAAGAAAATATTGAGACAATAAACCCAGCAAACCTGTAAGAATACCACATGATAATGGGTTTTCCTAAGAATGGAAAGTTATTTTAACATTAGCTGTCCAGCAGTGAAAGTCACCATATTAAGAGATTTAAAAAGAAAAACACTGTGATTATTGTAGTAGATTTCAGAATAAATTAAATAAAATTCAGCATCCATTCATGGTTTAAAAATATGCCAGGCAAGCTAGATATAAAAGAAGTTTTTTAATGTGATAAGAAGTATTTATTTTTAAAGAATACAAGAAATATTGTACATAATATTGACACTTTGAATGCTTTCCTACTTAGACTAAATATAATTCAAGGCTGCCCATTATCACCACTCCTTTTTAACTTCATAATGGAGGTCCACCAAGGGAGTAAGATAAGAAGAAAAAAGAAAACAAGTATTAGAGAAAGAAGAAAATAGAATTACCTGTAGAGAATATGTATATATAAATACAGAATCTCCAGGAACCTACAGGTAGATTATGATTAGAGTTACTAGATACAAAGTCAATACACAGACCAACTGCATTTCTGAAAATCTACAAGAAACAAAATTTTTAACTAAAGATACCACTTGAAATTCTCTTTGGAGGAATTAAGAAACACAGTGCATGGTGTGATTTAAAAATATGCAGGGATTGCTGCTGCAGAATCCCATCCAACAGAAAGGCATGAATCTTCAATACGAAGAGCAAGAAGTAGTAAACCTCAGTAACAGTATGTGACAAGTTTCAACTTGTTCAGCCTGTCATTCACTTGTGAGCTACGGATGTGAGAAGGTGTATTTTAAAGTATGCCATAAATCATGGATCATGAACAGAGCATTTTATTGAAGCTGCACAGTTGTGCCATTTCAGATTCTATTTTTCTAAGAAATATCTTCATGGGAGATGAAACTTGAGTCTGTGGTTATGATCTTGAGCTATAATTGAGTTCTCAATGGAAAGCACCCAGTTCTCATGATGTAAAAAAAAAAGCCTGTCAAACAAGATCTAAAATCAAGGTGAATTAATGGAATCATTTGAGCTGGTTTTATCCAGAAACACAACAGACAACTCTGAATATTATAAGGGCTTATTATTTAAGAAATGATAGATATATAGAGATATATATATAGATATATCTATATATATAGAAAATGGCCTGAGAAATGGGCAAATGGTTTCATCCTTCATTGTGCCTATGATCTGTGTCACACATTGCTTCCAGTATGCAGATTTTTGTCAAATAAAAACATTGTGGTGTTTTCTTATCCATCCTATCCATCAGATGTGGCACCATGGATTCCTGGCTCTTACCCAGAGTAAAAATGACCACGAAAGGTAAATGTTTTGAATGGATTCAGGACATTGAGGCAGGCATGACAGTGCAACTAATGAAAGAGAACTTCCAGAACTGCTTAAGAAAGTGACAAGAATGATTGGATAAGTGTACTTGAAGCAGGGGGGAATATTTTGAGGGTAATTAATGGCAGTGTGTGCTTTATTGTAATTATTTTTTTTAAAAACATTCACTATATTTTTCAGTCACACTTCATAGAGCAGAAGTATAGCTGTTTGCTTTTTCCTCATCAGGCTTAAATCCAGGAGATGTGAATTGTTTTACTTCACTGGCCTTATACAGGGAGAGGCATACATTTTGTCCAGTATACTACAGACTAACATCCTAAAATAGTGATTTGCACCATTTTTGAAATACATTGATCATAATAAAATAGAATTAGGATATTCTATTTAGGATATCCTATTCTAGGATAATAATAGAAGGAGAATTTGGGTTTATTATGTCTGAGTCTTTACCCAGTATGAAAGTCTTTTTTGTAGCATTCTAGTAGTAGTTTACTCACTTTACTACCTAAAATTTCTTTTCGTGGGAGCTAGTACTGAGACACAGTATCTTACAAATATTTTATGCAGTACTTATTTACCAAGTACCTTGATAACTATCTCACTTTGTCAAATCTAAGAGTTCATCAGTTGTAATACGCATCACTACTTCACGTTCTATTAAATGAAGAAATGTTGCTACTTTTTGACTATGACATATTGTAAGGCAAATCCTGAAGATATTAAGAAATTTTACAGATGTTAAATGTTTTTTAAAGCATCCTATAATTGCTTCTAATGATTTATTATTTAGAAATATCACTGAGGAAGTACTTTTTCTTTCATTTCTGGGGTCTGTCATTGGCATCTTTTAGTTTTTCCTCCCTAATCCATACATGCTTAAATTAGTTCCTTTTGTTGGTTTTATAATTATTTTGTCATCCGGTTCCCTCCACCTCCATCTTTGAACTTCATATAGTTTATTAAGCTCCTTAAAACTGAATATGATATAGACTTCAACAAAAGGAAAATTATAAAATCTTAAAACTACTATGTCTAGGAATTAGAATATAGAATAGTTGGTACATTGATGAACTAGGGTTTTGTTAACTTGACAAGATTTTCAATAATTTTGTCTTTAAAATTGAAAGCCGTCCATAGCAATGAAGAAATTTTTGTATTTGAATTTTTATGAGTGGGTTTAGGTTTTATATCATATTTTTCTCACCAGGAATTTCTCCCCTGGACACTTGGTTATTCTTGTAATTGAGGGTAAAGGTGCTATTTTTTTAAATTATTTTTTAAACAAATATAAATAGTATTCTAATACATGTCTTCCACAGGATTCTTCTCTATATGGGATTACTACATAAGAAATCTGGCCATAATGTAATCACTCATCACTTAACAGCAGAGATACATTCTGAGAAATGTATTGGGCATTTTCATTGTTTGTGGACACAGAGAGTGGACTTATTACAAATCTAGATGGTATGGCTTATGGCTCCATAGCCATAAACCTACCTGTACAATATGTTACTGTACTGAATATTTTAGGCATGTGTAACACGTTGGTAAATATTTATATGCCTAAACATATCAAAACATAGAAAAGGTACATACAGTAATAATACTAGTCTATAGACATTTTTCAGCTCTGTTAAAAAGTTGTGGGACAGCTATCTATGCAGTTAATTTACTGTATCATTATGTGGTACTTGACTGTATGTTAACCCAGGAGTATTTCTAATTAGCATAAGTGCTTGTTTTAGTGGTTGTTGTATTATTAGCTGTTATTGTGACAAAATGCCTGAGAATAACAAAGAAGAAAAGATTTATTTTGGATCAGTGTTTCAGAGGTTTCTGTTCATGATCACTTGGTTCTCTTGCTTCTGGGCCTGTGTTGAGATAGCACATCATAGTGCGGAGCATGTGGTGGAGCAGAGAGATTCACCTTTTGGCAGAGAGACAGAGATGATGCTAGAAAAGCGGAGGCCAGGGACAAGGTATAATTTCCAAAACCATACCCTCAGGACCCCACTCCCTTCAGTTAGGCCCCACCTCCTAATAGCCCATTCACCTGTTGTCTTACTTTGCGGTCACTGGAGCACAGTACTGGAGCACACCAGAATTTAAAGAAGGAGAGGTTTATTTTTGCTCATGTTTTTAGTCCATAGATGGCTGGCTCCAGGGCAGGGCAGTGGCAGAGGGGCACAATATAGTGTTGGAAAAGCTTCTCATATTATGGTGGCCTGGAAGCAGCGAGGGAGGGAGCTGAGAAGGGAAATAAACCTTTCCAGGTCATGCCGCCTGTGACATACCTCTTCTGACCAAGCCCCACCTCCTAACATCACATGTAGCTATAGTGTTCACAGGATTCAGTCGCCCTTCAGAAGCTCCACCTGAGAGCACATTAGACTTTTGGGGAAATCTAGATATGAACCATAACACCTCTGCACTGTGGTTAGTACTCTCATGATCCAGTCATGTTTCTAGGTCCCACTTCTGAATATTGCTGCACTGGAGATCAAACCTTTTATACTAGGGTCTTTTGGGGGCACTTCATAGCTACACTGTGACAGAAGTGAATATTTGTATTTGAACTTTTCTTTACAATCATGTAATTTCTGACAGTCATGTGATCGTTTCATTGTATGTATCTACTTCAGATTATTTAAACTATGAGAAAATAGCATTCATAATATGTTAATAATTAGTTGATACACAGTTTGTGGTATTTAGCTGTTGTCAAATGAAGCTTTTCCAGTAGTTAATCCTATTCTCTTTCTTTTAAAACATAGGTTTTGAGAGTATTTTAGAAGGGCTTTATGGACCACGGCTACGAAGAGACCTCAGTTTATTTGAAGGTAATTTTTAAACTTTTATTTTCATCATAACCTCCAGCTCCTTTTAACAAGTTAAAAATGATGAGTTCAAAGCCAGCCTGGACTACATAGTGAGACCCTCTCTCAAAAAAACAAACTAATAAATAAAACAAATGGCAGTTGCATTAACTAAATCAAATTAAATGAATCTTCAATCAGATATCTTATAAAAAAGCTGTGCCTTCAAATTTTTATTGTACTTAGTGACACACTCATGAATACTGGAAAGGGAGAATCTATGACTAAGTCAATTTATACATTGACTTTTTTGTTGTGTTTTTCTCAAGACATTTTTTTTCCTAATATCTGAAGAGCTGAAGTTGCTATAAAACATTTTTTGGATATTGGTTAAGGCAAGAGATTCCTTTTTTCTTGTTTTTACTGATGTTTTATAAAAGTCACTTGAGCTTGTAAGGACAACATATTTCTAATCTATATACTTAGCTCTTCAGTGGCATACTTTTTGAAAATGTGCAGAGCCTTTGTTACTGTTGATCAAGGGAGAAATGTCTTCAGTAGTAATTCTGGTACTAATGATGCTGACAATGACTAGTAACAGAAAAATAACTTTTTAAACTTAACAGGAATATACTGTATTTCTTATTGGGTGTGGCCTGCTTGAATTTTATTTTCAGCTCCTATAGTATCTAAAGAATAACCTTAAGCATTTATTCAGTCTAATGTTACCAATTTGTAAACCATGCTGATCACATTTTCTCATATGTGTCAAAAATTATGATTGTTTATTTCTATGTAATTTTATAAGATTTTCTTAATTCTTGTATAAATTTTAAAAATTCAGTACAATTTATTATTTTAGTATCAGATTATGTTCCCAAAGTGTTACATCATGCTTATGTTTCTTTATATGCTCACTATATTTTATTGTAACTTATTAGAAAAAAAATTTACCATATAATTGAAATTGATTATTTTTAATAATAAAAGCTTATGCTTTTCAAGCTGTTGTTGGGATAGTACAACTTAGGGCCCTTGTGTATTACCTGTACAGACTTCTAAAGGAAGCCTAAAAACATACATACTTGCACAGTAGTTTTAAGGATCTCAAGAAAATAATCAGATAAACATGCAGAAGATATATGTAAAGTTGCTCATTATAGTCCTAAAGTTGTTTCTGTTTCTTTTTTACTATTATATATTAAAAGTAGGAGACTTTAATAAATTATTTTATGTCCATAATTGAAATATATGCAGCCATTATTATGTAGTTCGTTAATGACATGCGAGAATTACTAGATTGAAGAAAAGAAAGTCACTGTGTACGTACTACTTATCCTATTTGTGTTAGAAAGAATAAAAGAAGTATATATGGGTTTTTTTCAAATAAAATCTTTTTTTTTTCTTAAGTTCTTTTATTGGTACATTTTAGGTATTCAGTTCATTTACATTTATCATTGGGTGTTTGTACCTGTACATAATGTATCACTGTAAATGTACCTGAAAGAAAAGACACTAAAATGCTCATGGTGGTTATATTTGAAGTATGCATTATGGATGATTTTAGTTTCGTTTTACATATGAATTTGTTTTTTTCTCAGTAGCAAACATACATAATTTTAAATACATGAAATCTTTTGAAAAAGCACACTTTGTGCTTTTCCCACTAAAACTCTTGGAATATTATAAAGGTCTGTGCTGAGTAAATTAAGATCCTTATGTATTCATCAAATTTCATTTTTTTACGGTAATACTGACTATATTATGTATATAATAAGAGAATAATGTGGCGTATCAGGTGAGCTTTACCCAACTTTATAAAATTATAGAAATATAAAGGAAATTTAATTTTATTGAAGTTTTCAAATTTATAATCATGTCATTTCACATACAGTCTTAAATTTTCTTAAACTATTTTGGGGGTGGGGATGGGGTCTTATATAGGGACAAAACAAGTTTTTCAGTCTTTCCCATCTAGTTTTTATAGCACCTGTGGGTTATTCTTGATGTATTGCCAGTGGCTTTAGGTCTTTGAGGTCTTTTAGCCTTGATAGGGACATGATATACAACTTCGTTTTCCTAGCAACTAGTCAGTGCTCAAATTTTTAAAATAACCCATTGAAGTTCTAGAGTTCTTGGTTGCTATGTGGCAATGTAGCTTCAGGCATGCAGCTGTAATTCCTCTTGCCCATGATATAGGTAGCCTGGAACTTGGGTTGCCACTCTGAGGAATATCAAGAGTTTTATGTTTATGTAACATTTATTATCACCTCCTCTTCCAAAAACTCTAGCATATAAATACTAGTAGATTTTGATCTGTAGTATAATTTCTAATACCATAGCTTAGCTGTTTTATTGTGTGCTTGGAAACATAGAGCACTAGGAGAAAACATTTTTGTAGATGTATCTGAAATTTTATATTATAATTAATTTATAGAATGAGTAATGCTAGTTTTTATTTTTGATTGAATTATTTCTAGTTACTGTATCTGATCAGTTTTACACTGCTACCTTGCATCCTGCTGATAACCTGAGATTTTAAGGTCCTCCTCTCTTGTGTATACATAAGTGCTTTGAGAGTGATCACGGTGGTATAAATAGTTATGAATCAATCTAGCTATGAATCAAGTTAGTTATGAATCAGGCATAGAGCTGAAGGTATGTTTATAAGATATCTATTCCAATCACCAATTTTTAGTTAGATGAATGATACATGTGCAGAACATGGTTTGAAGAAAAATGACACCAAAATGTGCCTCTTTCGGTATTTTATCGTTTTTATTGCTAAGGAGAGGTTTTTCTTCAATCTCTTAATTTTAGTCTTTTCTTATTTTAACATAGTTTTGCACTGAATTGTTTTTATTTAATATACTTATAAGCACTGCTAATTATAATTTTACTAGTTTCTCAGCTGAGGTTATAAATGAACAAAGGAAGAATTAAAGAATCAAAAATTTAACTCATGCATGTTTCTTCAGCCTGCCTTTCTTGCTTTTTTTCTTCCGTATTCAATTAGAAGTAACTGTTTAACTTAATTGCCTTCTGGTAATCCAAGTTAAAATTTGTGACATTTTAGTCTCTGGTTTCTCCCACTTTATTTATTTATATAGTTATATATGTTTGTGTACATTTTTATTTTCCTTCAGAAATTAGTTTATATATAAAGACAGAATGTGCTAAGGAAATAAGTGACCATATTTTACTTTCAGGTCATTCCTCTTCCTTCCCTCCCTCTTCCTTCCTCCTTGATTCCTTCCTTCCTTCTTTCTTTGCAGTGTTGGGGATTAAACTCAAGGCCTTGTACATGCTAGGCAAGTACTGTGCTACTGAACCCTGTAGATTATTATTTCTTTATATATGAGTATCATGTGTTCATTTTAGAAAATTAGAAAATACTGAAAGACTAGAAAGAGATAACCCCTAATCGGTGATCATCTCTGTTAACATTTCTTATAAATGTAAAACTTGTTTTGATATATGTAATCTTTCATTAAAATAGTGTACACTATATGCACCAGTATATATACTTTTTTCTTAACTGTGTTTCTACACACTAGCATGTCATTTGGGTATACTATATAAAGTTTTGGATCACCATTTTTAATGGCTGCACAAGATTTCATTGTGGAAATATTATAATTAGTTTATTTAGTACTCCATTGGTGTGTATGTCAATTTATTCTTTGAATTCAAATGTATCTTGTACTTTATATCCTCTTTTGTGCCCTTTACAGGAAGTTATAAATTAGCTGAACTATGGATTTCAAGCAGCCTCTTTTTACACATATGCCTACCATTACTTCATTGCTCTTTTTATCACAGCTGTTAAACAATTTTTTCTCCAGGTGTCCTAGGTAAATTCTTCCTCCCATTTCTTACTTTTTTGAATTAGGAAATGTTTTTTATCAAATTTGATGGCTAAGGAGTAATGATATTAATTGTATAATAATGAATATATATGTGTGTAAAGAAAAAGACAGCTACACTTTTTTTGAAGGAAAATTAGACTATTGCTATTGAAGTGTAGTGTCCCTTTTAAAAAAAAAATTGTGGAAGCTATCCTTGATAGACATCTGCAGATATCTGTAGCTATCTTGGATTTTTTTCTCATCATCTTCTATATAGCAGTGCTTTATTTGTTGTTACCTTTATTGAAAATTCCCATAAGTAAGAAGAAAATAAAAGATAGGTAATAGAAAACAGGGAGATAGATATTTTGCAAAAGGGAAGGAGATTAAGAGGTAGAAAGTGTGAGTAAGGGAGGAAGAGGGAATAAAGAATTTAGATGTGTCATGTACATGTACCAACTCCCCATGATGAATGTAATCATTATGTACTGCAAACATTTACTAATAAAAATAAAAAAATTTTTAAAAACCTGTAAGTATAGGTATATTACAGGTATGTCTCCCTATATAAAATTTGTATGTAAGAATCAAATGGATTAAAGTGTGTTTTTAGATATATCAATGGAAATCTGAGCTGTTACTTATAGCAACTCAGGAACAAAATAAGTTGGATATCAAAGGATTCTTGTATAGTACTATAAATTATTTTTAATTAGAAGTGTAATGTGTAGTATTTAGATAAATTTACATTAAACGGTTAGTTTACAAACCTACTACTGTTTTCTTATTAGAAAAACATATTTATTATATTATATCATTATTACCTTAAAAGTCAACTTTGGTATGTAGTATGTTATGTTGAAGACTTTTATATCATATGTACTAGTCTTTTGAGAGGCTTACATTCTGCTTTTTTAATTCAGCTCAGGACCACCTCCAAATTGAATGGTTTTGAAAGAGGTTTTAAGATATTGTTAATTTTTAATTTGTTGGAAACAAAATAGAAATCCTACTTTTCTGCCTTTGACCCATCTCATGATTCTTTAATCTTTTGAGGAGAGTAATAACTATTCCCTCTTCTGGAGTAAAGTCCCCAAAGAAGTGTGGAATGTTATAAACTTTTTAAATTTATGTATTCTGCAGAGAAGTTTCCAGCACTCTAGGCCTCTCTTCCTC